TCACTGATTTCATCTCCTTGTCAAAGATCAGTTGACCATAGATAGATGGGTTGATCTCTGGATTCTCAATTTGATTCCATTGATCTCTGTGTCTGTCATTGTACCAGTACCATGCTGTCTTTACTACTATGGCAGTGTAGTAGGATTTGAAATCAGGGAGTGAGATACCTCCTACCGTTCTTCTATTCTTACGGAGTGCTTTTCTTATTCGGGGCTTTTTCCCATTCCATACGATATTGGAGATTGCCTTTTCCATCTCGTTGAAGAATGGGGTTGGTGTTTAGTCACATTTTCTTAAGCTACTAATGCTTCTTCAGAATCTGTATAAAATTGACTCCTAGCACCAGGACTATTAAATGGACCTGTGGCTTGTGCCATTGTCCTTAGTATCTAACTTTAGGAATATCACAGTACATCCCTTTTTTAATCTAGACAATATTTAAACTACAACTCTTAGTTTAATTAATGATGGTCCTTTCCCCCATGTTTTGTTTTTGTTTTGTTGTTTTGTGTGGGTTTTGTTGTTTGTTTTTTTTGTGAGATCCTACTTCATATGTTACTTTTCATTTTTAAATTTGAAATTTTTTTAGATAAACAAAAAGTATTAAGAGTAGTACAGAAGATTCAGGTGTACTCATTATTTAGATTCTTCCATAGATTATATGTTATACTAAACAATCTGAATCATTCCTGAGTTAATTCTGACTCTGGAAACTGTTTGTGTGTCAGATTAGAGCTGTGCTGGGTAGGGTTTTCAGTGGCTGGCTTTTTGAGAGTAGATTTTACAGGCTTGTCTTCTGAAGTTCCTCTGGATGAACTTGAACCTCCTGCCTTTGGGTTTGCACTCAAAAAGTGTTGACTACTTATACCACCTAGGAACTCCAACATCTTCGATTAGTATATTATCACCATTGTTGTTGTTAGATGCCATCAGTTCCAGTAGGACTCATCATTACCCTTTGATCAACACTTAGGAATCCTGTCCTATCCTAGGCCATTCTTATCTCTGACACACTTGAGCCTATTGCTGCAATCATTGTATCTTTCCATTTCGTTGGGGGGGTATTCCTTTCGCTTATCCTCCATTTTTCCAGGCATGATGTTCCTTTCCAAGAACTAGTCTCTTCTAGCAACATGTCCATAGAAGGAGAGACAGAACTTCATCATCTTTACCGCCAAGGAGCACTCTAGCTGTAATTTTCCCAAGACAAATCTATTTGTTATTAGGCAGGCCATGGGATACAAAATACTCTTTTCCAGGACCACAGCTCAAAGGCATGAATTCTTACATTCTACAGACTATTTTATCATCTACTTTTCTTATTTAGCCTTTACAGGTTAAGAGCATAGACTTTATTTTATCTTGTCTTTTTTTACATTTTTTATTGTATTTTTATTCTCATTTTAGTGAAGATTTATGAAGCAAATTTATTTTGCATTTAACTCTACATACATTTTGTTCAACAACATACTGATTTCATTTCAATACTATGATATAATTTCATTTTTCCACTTTCTCCCTTTAATTTGATTTTCTTCTATACTTCTCAATGTCTCTCTTTTCCTTAGTGCTAAGCATCCCTTTACTGGAAATTGTTTTTCTCTTCACACATCCTAATATATGCCCATTATTGAGAGCTCTTGTAGCCTAGTGGACAGGGAGTAATACTGCCGTAACCAAAGACAGCTGTTTTGACTCCAGTAGCTGCTCTGAGGGAGAAAAATCAGCAATCTCCTCCAATGTGATTTGCAGCTTCTAAATGCTCCCTGGAGGGTCAGCTATGAGGGTTAATGCTGATTTCACTTCAGTGACTTGACATTGAATTTGATTATGTATTTACTGACTTTTATTCTCCCTCCCTCCCTTCCTATTT